TCTTGGTTGCGAGCGAGCTACACGGTGGAGAGAATGGCGGACCCAGTGATTGCTAATCATCAGCGCTCCATTTTCCAACATATGGATCCAATTCATATTGATGCCTCAATTCTCCGATTGGACGACAGGGGTTGAAAGAAAACTTCCGGTGCATACTTGACGGAGATTTTCCTGGCGATGCCTGTCTGATGGGTTCTTGTCAGCCCATTGCGGAGACTGTGGACGACATCAATTTCGACAAGGCTAACAGCATCCCACAGGCGAGTGGTTTGGGGCAACAAAGCTACCGGATCAAAACCACTTCAGAGAGAAACCCCAGGAATTCTATAGCATGCCTCACGTTGATCTCGAGCTGGTCCTAAATACCAACCTGTGGCAACGGAGCACCAAGTCCTGATTGGCACTCAAATTGGTACGAAAAAAGCGTTGCGGTATGGTTACATCGCAGCGTCAACCTGCATGACGCATCTTCGAACAGATTGTTTGTTTGGCCATCAACATACGGGTTTCTCTTTCATAGCTCAAAAATGGAGTCTTCCAATGGACCAAAAGCTACTCTCTTGCTCAGGGTCGGACATATGCCTACAATATCGGTGAAACCCGGCATATACTCGGCGCTGTGGTCCTCGGCTGCAGTAACGTCAGTCAGCCGCTTGATCCAAGCTTTCCGGGCTGGCACACGGAGCAACCGGGTGGGTGCAAGGCCACCGCAAGGGTTCCTTGACAACGACTTTGAAGTCAACTTTGGCCCTTTCAGCAACGTCTCGGACTCGAGAGACTTAAGCCAAGGCTTGCTGCCAATATCAAGTGGTCGCCGCCTTTAGATCTCAAGTATGAATACGGCTAGTTTGCGTATAGTCGGCCGACTGACCCCTCAGACAACCCTATCAGCCCTAGACCATGAGACGGGACATGACGGTGCTGATGCCCCGAGGATCACGCATAAACCATGTCCCCTGGCTCGCGCTCCAGGAAATCGAGTCCAGCATCCCCCGGCTTGGATACTGAGCATCCTCACCATCTGGTCCGGCAGTTCACATACGATAACCCATTATCAATCGCACATCAGGAGTTTCACCTGGGACGTCTCATGCGCTGAGCTTGCTCAAATTTTCAGCATGAAGTTCGCGAACCCGTTGACATTCGTCCGAAGAGATGGCGAGCCGCTGACGGGGCATACAGCCAGGTAGGGTTGGAGAAAAGGTTCAACTTCATCGTCAGGAGGGCGGGTTGTGTTGTTCTTAGCCCCTCCCATTTTCAAACGTCGCCTGCATGACCACATGGCAATTTCCCGTGGGTGCCTTGGAGCCGCAACATCGTGGTGCCTGATGTTTTGGCTTGCTTGATCTACGCCATGCGACAGGGTGCCTATCCTTTTGCGATAGGAATTGCCACAGTTGCTAAAAGCTTAGCTGTCTTTGCAGAAGAATCTGGTCACCCGTCGTGTACGGCTTCGGAGCTTCACGATTACTCTCTGCGCGAAGTGCGAAAGGGTGTCACTGTCCGATTTGCGGCCCCCCACAATCGGAAAGTGGTCTCGGGAGTCACGAAATCTTTGAGCTTAAATGTGTTCATAAAATGTCTCAATAATATAGCGGCGGACACGACCTTTCGAAGGGGGGTGCGATAGTTGGGTGGTAGTAACCCCATCCACAAGCAGCAGCCGAGAGCCGACGTCTGGAACCCCAGGGTGCGGTTGGCCTTGCCTCTTTCTCACACCCGTGGCCTGTCTATCCGTAGACCGTTGGAAGAAGCGCCGCGTAGGTCTCCGTACCCGATGCAGTGATGCAGGTATCACTCTGCATAGGGGGTGACCTGCAGGAACCTCGTCGACCAAGGCTAACCCGTCACGTCACTTGTCACCGCGCGATTCACGACCTCTCACAGATGGCACTGCACTTCTGTCAGCGAAGAGAAAGTGGGAAGAGGCTCAGGCATGACAACATGTGGGAACCGCTCCGCGCATGTCACGTTCCGGGGGCGATTGACCGCTTCTTTCTTCCCTGAATTTGCCTTCTGGCGGGTGGCTGGGGGGACTGGGAGTGGGAGATGACGGGCTAGGGGGGGATATATCAGAATCCCCCGGGTCATATAACGAACGAAACCCTGGGGCCGAGTGTTTCAACGGGCGGAAGCCGCTGCCAAACCAACCTTTCTGGGTGGACGCAGAGCCAAACGAAAGCTTGCGCAGTGATCAATGGGTTCATCAACGACTGGAGGCTGGAAGCCAGCGGGAGATCCAGATCATAGGACGCTCATTGTAAGGGGGTGGGAGGAAGTACAACAAAGGCGCCAGAATGGCCACCATCTTGCTCGATCACAAACCCCGAACTCGGCACATGCGGAGGATCAGAGGTGCCCACATCCTGCGGGGAGGCGCCTCTTCTTTTCTTTTTCTCACCTCTACTCGATAGCCGGTCCTGGTCCTTCCAGCAGACAACAGGGCCAACCTGCAGCCCGTCTCTACGTTACCGTCCACATCTGGCTATGTGGCGAACCCTGTGCCGGGACAGGAGAGAGCTCAGAGATGAGAGAGAAGGATAGAGGGGGGCACAGAGAGAGAGAGCCAAGGCAGGCAGGTAAGCAGGCAAAGCAGGGCCGTTCTGAACTCCCACCCTGTTCTTCCGTCTCCGAGTTCTTCGCACCTTTGGGTCTCTTCCTGAATCCTGCCCGTCGCCATTCCCTTCCCTCCCACCTCCCCCCCCCCCCCCACCAGCTCCTCTTTCCGCCATTACTCGCCAAGCCGATATTGGCCCAAGAACCCAAACCCAACGCGCCAGCCCCAAGGCCCCAAGGCCCAGGCATAACAGAGGGAAACAAGAATAACAGCAGAAGCCTGAAGTTAATGAACTCGACCCCTATCGTCCGTCGCCCAAAAAAAGAACAGACTCTTGAAACGAGAGCAAGAGTCAAGTTGCCAACTTGTCAAAAACAAATACAGCTACGGAGTATTGCCTAGTTTCCGAATTCTAGCAGCAGCAGCTAAACATGCCCGCCCGCCCGCGCGCGATCTCTTGACTCTTCCCAAACCCCCGGGCCCCTGGGCGGCTGGCCTGGCCTGGTCTGGTTCCTGGTTCCCCGGACTTTTGCACTCACACTTGGTCGAGGGCAAGGCAAGGTAATTAAAAACCAGCAGCTGCCAAAAGCGGAAAATGTATTGTTAATATAGATGCTGCCACACGTCAACTGCACGCCAAACCGTAAAATAAAATACAAAAAAAACCTCCGGCCGGCCGTTTCCCACTTCCCCTCCACCCTCCAAGGCCGCAAAAACAGGCCGCGCTAATGTAGCAAGGCCAAAAGAGGTGTGCCTTGGAAGCCCTCGTTTGGGACGAGGCCTCGGGGCCTCGTGTGAAAAAGGGGCGGCTCGACCTAAGGTAGGTCCCTAAGTCGACTACACGCGCCCCAAGAAGTTGCACATTCAAGGCGGTCGCCGTAGGTATCCCGTCCAGAAGGGGATGGACAGATAGAATGGATGATAGGACAGACATGTTGCTTTTTTTTGTGTAGAGTGTGTGTGACCACCTACACCTACGCCTACCTTGCTTCTTTCCGTTCCTCCCCGAAGCGGTTGGTACATGGTTTCTCGCAGGCTGCTTGCTGCATTACGATGCCAATGTGATTCACAGAAGTTTATCCCCGAGGTTCCCACTTCGGGGGGAGTGAAATACTTTGATGAAATTTCTCAAATAGGCCACACCAGGGACCGAATTAGTTGTGATTTTCCACTATACATTAATAAAAAGAAGAAAAGAAACATGTTTCGTCTTCCCATATCTCCTCTCCATCTTTCTGCACGGTTTTTGTTCACATAATCGAGTTTTAGGTAGCATCTCAAAGAAATGGCTGCTACTTTGTTCCACTTCGTACCAAATCTTGTTGATCCTCATCATGGTGTCAGCAGAAGTAAGTTTGGGACGAAGCAAAAAAAGGGGTTGAAGAAGCTACAAATACTACAAAGTACAATTGCGTGATGTGTGGGGTAGAATCGAACAAAAAACGAATAATGAGCGTTTAGAAGAAAACAAAACAAAAAAAGGTCAAAAGTACAAAACAAAAAAACTAAACAGACGTCGTCATGAATGCGAAAACTGCGCGCGTCATCCGCCGTGTATGCAAAATGCGTCTTTCCATCTGCATGTTTTCCCCTTTTTATTGTTTTCTCGTTCCACCCGCAAGACGCATAGGCATCAGAGCCAGCTCACCACCAAAAGCTCTCCTCCGTCAATACAATACAGTCAAGTTTTCGAGAGTTGATGTTGTAGGCGTGTTGGTATAATAAACCACCAAATGCTGCAGTGAAACTGTCGAATGCACTAAACTTCGAGAGAATGGCCGATGGTGGATCCTTGCATGGTGCCAAAGAAAGGTTGATGACAAGCGTCGAGAATGAAAAGTCAAAATCGCCTAAGGGAGCGTCGAGAAGGATAAAAACAAGTAGAAAGGCCGTAGATTGCGTGGTTCGCTGTGTTGCCCCCCAAAGTCTATAGTGTGTGCGTTGTGTCATGAGTCGAGATGAAGGAGTAGGTCGAGAAAAAGATAAAGTAAAATAAGGTGACCCGTGGTGTTCGGGGGTATCTCTAGAATTAGGCGGATGGGGAATCCAGCAAAACAAAAGGACAATGCCACTCGAGAGTCGCAGGTATGAGGTAGAAGCTGAAGTGAACAAGGCGAAGAAGTAGTCGTGGTCTCGGTGGTTCGATGAAGAGCTGGCGCAATTCTTCGGGCCTTGCGTTCTCTGTGCTTGTCGACCCAAACTGTTACATGAAAAGACGTCGAGCAGATTATTGCGGATCTTCCTTCCCTACCAGCTCGCTGAGTCGAAGTGGGAGGACGGCGTTCGTGGAGGTCGATCTGGGTGCTCCGGATGGGTCGTGTCGTTCCAAGTTGCATGATGGAGATCATCGCTAAAGGCAAGCTCCTCTTCATCACTGAAGCTGCTGCGTGTAGATTGTGTCTCCAGCCGGGGGCTCAGAAGTTCCCGGTGGAGACATTGAATGCTATAAGGGAGGGCCGCCCATTAACTCCTGCGCGCGTTCTCGGCAGGCAGCAGGGGTGAAGCCGGTCCCGACCTTGTTAGCGACGATACGCCATTTCTCATTCTCGTAGTCTTGCAGCGCAGTGCGAAGTTTTTGGTCCTGGAGGATAAAATTGAGTCAGAACACTGCGCGCGGTCTTGCCATATCACGCCGTCTGGCTGTGCTGCATGGCATCGCAGTCTAGGGAGGGAAGAGCACATACCGTTTCGTCGGTCCATTGGGTGGTCTTAGCTTTGAGCTTCGTACAATAGCGCACCTGCAGTGTTCCTGATGATCTCCCAGGGAAGAAATCCGCGATTTGCTTCCATGTGAGGGATTTGTTCTCTTTCAGATCGATCAGGAGCTGGTCGTCTTCGGGCGTGAACTTTAGCTTCGGCCCCCTTGGCCTCGGTGCCGGAGTCGGCATGCCTGCTTGTCCCACGACGCTCGGGGCACCGCCTCTGTCTCCGCCGTCACCATCACGCCTCATCATCTTGGAAGGGGGTCCTGTATCGGGTAGTCGATGGTGATGGTGCGTGGGAGCCTGGACTTGCTGGGTCGCCTGTGCATAGGCGGTACCCAGAGGAGTCTGCTGCATGGTCTCGAGGTCCGTCTGTTCAAGGTCGATTCCGGGAACGGACAAGTCAAGCTCGTCTGGCCTCGGTCTTTTCGGGGCTCCATGGGGCGTATGGGATTGCGTAGGCGTTGTCATGGATGGATACAGAGGAGCGACGACTGGACCCGGAGCGCCGTAGTGAGGCGGGCCCAAGTGCCGGGCGTGGCCCATGTGGTGCCCCGGATCCATTAGAACCTGATGGGAGTGGTGAGAGTGGTGAGGGTGCTGCTGGTGTTGCTGCATGGCCGGATGATGGGAGTGATGGCTAGTGGGCGGCTCATGGAGAGTGGGCGTGTGAGCGGCGCCATGATGGAGAGAGCTCCTATGGTGTTGATGATGTGAGGGCGTCGTGTCATAACCATGCTGCTGTTGGCTCTGGTCGCTCGGATGCGACTCCTGTGCAGAATAATCGACATTGTAGTCCCCTACTCGATAGTTGCCCGCCAGCGTGCTTCCGGCACATGGGTCCCGCCAGAGCGAACCGCTCTGGACGGTCGCCGGGCTCTGAAGTGAAAGAATTGGTTGAGCGAAGGCCCTCTCGGGCGGCGTCGGGAGAGGTGAGGGCTGCTGGTGCGACGTTGCGGGGTCGCGATGGTGGTGATAGTCTTTCAAACTGCGATCCTGTAACAGCGCTATGGTGTCGCCGTGATGAGACCCCCCCTCCAGACTCAACGAACATTCGTGCCCGGGAGGTGTGGAGAGAATTTTCGCGGTATTGCTGGCAGCGGAGGATAATGGTGTCTTGTGGCAACGGTCGAGCCCTTGCCAGAGCTTGTGGTTGTGATGATGACGAGGTTGATTCTAGTGGTAGTGCTGTTGAAGAGAAAAGAGGAGAAGGACGAAGACGAAGACGACGACGACGACGACGACGATGATGACAACGGCTGAGAAATAAGACCAAGTTGGTGTTGAGATTTCGTAGAACTTGTCTCCCAATGGTGGTGGAGAGCTATCTGTCTGTCTGTCTGCACGGCCGGACGGATAGTTCCCTTTGACTGGCGTAAGGTGGGAAAAAAATTATTAAGACGAAATAAAGGTCGAGGTAACCATGCTACCCTTTTTCAACTGGTTGTTGTCACGCGCCGTTTAAGCTCACGGGATCTTCCCTTGACTTATTATAAATCCCGTTTGGCCCTGGACAAGTAATATAGTAGTGAAGGGGTCAAAAGAGAGGAAGCGCGGACGTGGGCAAGGGCTGCATTATATCGTCCGATGTGCCTTATCGAAAAGAGGAATAGAGGGCTGTGTGTGGACTCTTGCTCTGGGGGTAGAGAGAAGGGGACGAAGGAGAGGAGAAAAGCATGCATGGGAGGGGTGAGGCGAGAGAAAGAGGGTACATCAACTGCCGCTGCTTTTGTCACCGACATCTTAAGCACATACGCGATTCGCCATGTGCGAGACGTATTCTGTTCCTGAGTAGGTTGCGGAGACTCAAGTTAACCTTGCCCAGTAGGTGATGACGGTAGCATAATTTGGGGATCTTATGCCATGGGTTTCGCTGCCGGATATAGAAGCAGGAGTGCCCCCGGCCGGCGGTGATGATGCAACGGGCAAGGAGGGGTGGGCGTGACGGTGGCTAGCCTATATAGTATGATGGACAGACAGGGCCGTCGGAGGAGACAAGCAATGAATAATTTCACAAATCTAAGAAACCTCCGGATGGATTTGATCCAACCCTGTAAAGGGAGGCCGGATGACCCAGAGAGAAAGAGAACGAGAGAGGTCTGGAAAACGCATGGAAGAAATCCAGACACGTTCAGCCGAATGGGGGATACAAGCTGAAACGAGCCCTACCATGCGCTCGCTGGTTGGGAAGGGCATAGCAACTGAGCAGCAGCAATTCAGAAGAAGGCCGCCCATGTTGCTCGGCCCCCTGCTTCACTGGGGGAGAGAGAGAAGGGGAACCAGGGTGGCAGCTCTTGGCTCAACTCAAGGCAGTTGACTCTTGAGAGCGAATGTGTGTGAGCCTGTGTGTGTGTGCGCGTGTGCGTGGGCTCGGAAGCTCAAAGTCCCTGGGTCACCCTTCCCCTGGCCTCCGTCCTTGACGGGGGGCTTGCTTTGGGCGGAAAACCACCAGCGAACAGCGTAACTTGGACAGCTCTGCCCATTCTGGAGAATACAGTGGAGTCTGTTGGGGGGCAAACAGCAGGTTTTGGGAGAGAAAATGGCTGGATGAGCACCGAGAAGTCATGCCTTGGCCCTGATGGGGGTATATCTGATGCAGGGAGGGTATACCAGAACCATGAAGAGAAATCGCCGCTCCGGTACGCGATAGGGCCAGAGAGACGGTAAGGTTGCAACAACCACTCGACCTAGTGGGCAGATTGCCGAGGGGTGAGAACAAGGTACTGCCGGGTGAAAAAGACGGAGGGCACCAGCTCAAGCTGGTTGTATCCATTCGCAACGTCAGTAAGAAAGAAAAAGACCCTTTCTTTTTTAGCCCTGATCCCCTTTGCCGTCATCGGTGGCAGTGAGAGCCTGCTCCCACGTTCGAAGACCTGGTCAAAAGCTTCGGGATCGATTCGGAAGGGAACTGCAGTGGTCCCAGGAGGCAAATCATCCTTGCTGACCCAAGATGAAGACGTCCGCAGCAGGGGGATTTGCGTCCCAAACGCCAGAAAAGGCGTGTCAGTCGGCCTTCGCCTCGATGTCGATACGGTCAAATCTGGCAGGTCCCACAAGCAGATGCCAATGCCAGACGCAGAAACAGAAAGGAATACGACTGCGAAGGGACATGGCCGAGATGAGAATGACGGCGGTGCCACGATTGAGGTTCAGGTTCGGCAATGCGGCGGCTGTTGGACCAGGCGGGCGGCGCGCGCGTCGACGAGATGGGATGGTCGTAGGCTTGACTTGCACCGGACCAGACAAGACTGGTTAGCCTGTGGGGTAACAACTTTTTCCAATGAGGATGTATTTTTTTTGGGGGGGGACTTGGGACGTGTGCGACTCAATGACCAGGTCGCACGATGGTGCCGTCGTCGAAACCATGGGATGATAGCGGTTCGCTCAAGGTGATTATTCGTCTGTTTGCATGGGCGGGCGCGCGCGCGCGCGCAAACGTGCACGCAGCCGCCAGCAGTTCGAGTTCCTCTCGTCTTCTCACGAACTTGAGGGCATCCCCAGATTGCCAGACGCGTGCGCTGGAGACGCGCACACAGTCTCCCGCGGCCTCCCACACGACCGTACCACCCCCCTCTCTCACCTAACCGTAAGCCGGGAATGTGGTGGGTGTAAGCAGAAGGACGGTACATGGCGTAAGAAACCCCCCGGCTTTCGGCAGCAAGGAGATTGTGCGACTCAATGCACATCCCAGACCTTTGGCGCTTGATGGTAGGTCGGTCAAAAAAAAAAAAAAAAGGCCTGGGGAGTGGCTCGACACTCAACAGGCTCGCTCTCTCGCCGCTGGGCAAAGGCGAAAGTCACAAGTACCTTCCATGGCTCGTCAGGGAGGGTAGGGCCGAACCAGTAGGAAGGACGCTTGGACGAGGAAACCTGGGACGAAGACTCGACGGGAGGGCGACTAAGGAGGGCACTCGGACAGCAAGAGGACGGACGGCCGACGGAGTTTGGTTTGGCGGTACGTTGGAGAATTGGCTCGAAATTCTCATGTGGGCAAGATGCGGCTGGCGCTCGCTCATTGCTAGTGCTGGCGGCCAAGTTGACCTCATCGAGACATGACGGATCATGGGAGGGGGGAGATATGAAGCTGGAGCAGGGGGTCAGACGGGTATCGCATGAAGGAAACGCGTTTCACGCATACCTGGCAATTAAAAGATCAATTATGCGACCCAGGGATCCCGGGCAATCTTTCTAGAAGGAGTGGGACTCTATTCTAGCGTGTGGTGAGGTGCTCACCTTATTTCTTCGTCGCCCAGCTGGGGGAGGACTTGGGTCTTGGGGTCCCATTCTGGAATTTGAAATCGGCGACTAGGGGGGGATCCTTTGGGGCGGTTCCTGAAGAGACGGACGAGGTGCCGCGAATCAGATGGCTGGGCAGTGGACAAGTCGGTCGACTCTGTGGGCACGGGGGATGTCGATCAGACGTAAAAAGAGGGCTTGGAAGGTGACGGAGTCGGCGATGATGTGTGGTGATGTGGTGGAGATTGGAGGAAATGCAGGGCAGGCCGCAGATGAGATGCTGATGCGCAGTCATGGAGCAGATGACGGATGGGCAGATGAGACGACGAGAGAAGCCTAGGAGGCAGACGAGGCAGTGACCGAGACGGAGAAGGGGGACAGAAAGAGAAAGAGAGAAGAGAGAGACTCAGACAGGTTCGAGATTGTCGAATGACGGGACCTGAGGTAAGAACGGAAGGGGAGGTTCAAACTTCGGAGTACTTTAGGCACGGACGGTAAGGTAGGCGCCGGGAGAGTTGAGTGCAAGATGATTGAAGGAGGAAGAGATTGCGAATCTTGGAAGCAGCGACATGGAAAATGCGATAAATGCAGGTCCAAATTGAAGCTCCCGACACGCCGCAATTTTCATGTTTATTTTTTCCTCACATTGAGGAAAAAGTGTGGTTGGTTGGGTCTCAGATTTGGGTCAAGTTCACCTCACTTGCAAGTCACTTTGCGGGAAAATTAGGTGGAAGGATACATGGATTACCGATATACTCTTACCTTAGGTTTTCCCTAGGTGTGCCATCCTGATGCCGAGACTTTTGTCTCGGCTCATTGTCTCTCCCAGGAAAGCGGAAGGTGCAATCTACGAAGTACATAATTATTAGCAAGATACCTTCCATGCCTCATTCACGGGCCATGGCAATTTCCATCATCACCTCACCTTTTGTAGACACTAGAGATGAGACATGGCAGCCGGGCCAGACTGTCCACAAAAAAGGCTGGAACAGACACAGTCCGCATTGAGGGCCAAGCCTCGAGGTTCGACGTGTGTTGGCAAGGTCAGGTACCTTACCTCGTGCACGGAGCAAGATACGAGAGTCCGTACCTTACCTAGGTAGTGTACAGACCAAGGCAAGGTACCTTATCTGGTACTTTGCATGCTTCCTGATTAGCCGCGATGGTTTGACAGATGGGGCCAGCGGGTGCGCGTCAATGAGGTCGAGTATCGTTATGGAAGAACGGAAGCAAAGCGGGCAGCAACCGTCGGCTTACGATCCACTCTTTCCCAGGTACTTACACTACTTGCCTTAGGTAGTTACCAATGA